GCTGTGAACCTTAAGGTCAGCGGTTCGAAACTACCAGCCGCTCCGCGGGAGAAAGATGAGGCTTTCTACTCCCGTAAAGATTTACACCCTCGAAAATCCTGTACAGGGTCGCTATGGGTCGGAACCAACTCCACGGCACTTAACAACAGAACAATTGGTAATTCTATTGTCAAAGCATTATTAACAGTTTAGTAATAACAGTTTAGTAATAAGAATCCACTCAAGCTCAGGGTCTTCAAAGGGAGGGATATTAAGAAAATAATAGGCTATTTCTGGGTATGCTTTCAAGTGTACATACCATTAGCTGAGTAACAGTATTATGTTAAAAAAAATTCATAACTGCAAATATAAATTGGTGACTATTTTATATGATTTGGAGATACATCAAAATATAAGATGAACTGATGGATGAATATTTGATAAATTAACAGGAAAATATTAACTATAGAAGATCAGCCATGGTATTTCTGAGAAGTTCAGGCAATTCTATTGCACAATATTGGTTAGCAACAACTGTTCTAGGGACTCTAACATTTATTTCATCTTTGAATCTAAACACATTATCAGTATTATCACCACTGGATTTATCTACACTATAGGGTAGGGTTTTTGAACTGCATTTTTATTTTAAAAAGGGTTTTAAGACAGTTTGAATAAGCTTTACAAGTAATTTATCACATCTTTTGTCAATCATTCAATAAATTAATATTGCATATATTTATTCATTGAATTTCATTCCAATATAATAACAGAAGGGTAGTGAGGCATTTAACTCTATGGGTATCACTGATATAATATAAGGAAAACCAATACATTTTCCTCGAAAAAACACACCAACTCTAAACTTTATTTGGCTCACAAATAAAGTTCATCAACCAACTGGCAACAGGTCTCTGTTTTAACAAGGCTTTTAATGTTATAATTCCAATGCTTATCAAGCTGGTTAAAATAAGGTGTTTCTTTTTCTTAAAAACAAAACAAATGTAAGACTTCAATTAAGAGATGGCAGGTTTCTAATTGCTAAATTTCTTAATGACCACCCTTTTAAAGACTGCTAATTACACAAGTTATGATGATAGAGTGCCTAGCATTCATATCACCAAAGCAAATGCTGATCTTCTCAGAAAACGTTCCAAAGGATTATAAGAATTCTCAAAGTATAGTCTGACCAGGTACCTGGCTTCTAAATAATTAATACTGAAAATTTTAATTATCGACAAGTCTCAAAATATACCCTATTTGAGTGTTAAATATCAGATTAAAGGAAGCTAAGGAGCTCTGGTAGCGTAGTGGTTACGAATCGGGCTGCGAACCGTAGGTCAGCAGTTCGAAACTACCAGCGGTTCCGCGGGAGAAAGATGAGGCGTTCTGCTTCCGTAAAGATTAACAGCCTCGGAAACCCTGTGCAGGGTCGCTATGAGTCGGAACCGACTCCACGGCACATGACAACAAGGGACAACCTTATTATTCTGTAGATAATTCACAAAAATTTTAAAATTCCAGGTTTTACTACTTACATCATCAATGTCCTCATCATCATCTCCAATGTCATCAAACTGGATTTCGTCATCATCTCCAGGGCCAAATGTATCCGTTTCATTGATTTTAGCTAAACAACACAGTAACAAATATGTTCATGTAACATAACCAAGATGCTATTAAAACAAGCAACTATCAAGTAAGAGTGGGTCTGAGACCAAATTTGAAATTAAGGAATCAAAATAATAATTGCAAAGTAAAATTTGTAGGCTTACAAAATAGTATGTATAATAGTATTTGCAAGGCGGCTTCAAAAAGTTTGTGGAAAAATTCCTATCTTTCAATTCCATTTTTCCAGGAACTTTTGGAAGCCCTTTTGTATACTACATTTCCCTTTTGATGAGGTTATGAGAGTTTTATTTTTGTTTTATTCAAATTATCTGCATTAAGAATACACTGTGTTTGTATTTATTTGGGAGGGGAGAGCACATTCGTTTTTTAAAAACGATGGGTTACTATAATACAAAGATATAATGGACTGAAAACAGATGCTTCAAAAATAAAACCCAACACCGCCACTTATTGTGTCTTTACTTCCTGTTTAAATGTTCCTGATGAACACTGACAATCTCTTGTGAGAGATTTTATTATGTTTTTTTAATGCTATAATAAAATTATTCCTTTGATTGGTATTATACTGAAGTTAGGGTTTATAAGGAATCCTGGGTGTGGCACTGTGGGATAATGCGATAGATTGCAGTATCGGTTTGAACCACAAGGTTAGCAGTTCAAATTACCAGCCACTTCTCAGAAACTCTATATAGGGTGGGTCACTATAAGTAGAAACTGACTCGATGGCACTCAACAACAATAGAGTTTTTATAAAGTGTAACTGCTCACCAAGTATATTTACTAGGAACAGATTCCAGTTACTTCTATTTTTTTTTTGTAATAGACCAATTTTAATTCTAGCACCTGAAGCTATAACAAAGGTATCCTTTATAAACTTCATGACACTGCTGTATACATTCAATATTGTGACAACTGTGCAATACCACTTAGTATCTCAAAATCAGGAAACACAGTTTCAAATTGTTTAAACAGAAATCACAGAATCAAAATGATAATCAGAAGCCACCCCCCAGTTACGCTAATTGATGATTAAGTGTTTTACATTTAATACTTGATATAACAGTCAATAATCTCATAAGGAATAAAGAAAGTGATTTCAGATTCTCATCATCCTGAAAGTTGTACTCTACTGGGAAGGTATCTTGAGTAGGTATGTGACGGGCCAGAGGTAGGTACAATCAGGACCGGAAGTTTTTGTAGCTTCCACATTTTTTCCTTTGTCAGTTAAAAGTGAAGAGTGATAATTAAATACTTATCTTTACATATACACAAGGTATGCTGAGAAAGCATATTTGATTACAAACATATAAAAATACTTGTTAACTAGTTTGATAAGAAAATAATGTATTAAAGTATATAGCAAAAACATTAATCATCTCTATCTCTGACCATGAAAGATCAACTCCGTATTTTATATTACATCAAACAAAAAGTTTGTGTTATTGAATCCTTTATCCAGAAATACTTGAAAAGGAAGACAGAAATTATTCATTTTTACCCTCAATATGGCTATTAGAAGAGCTAAATTTAAAAATAAGAATAATAAAATACATAAGTCCAAAATGAGCCTAAATATTTCTCCACATATAATCATCCTCAGGAATAGGAGTCATAATAAAGACTTTATACCATAAGATTTGATATGTCTCACTTTTATAAATTTAATAGTGTTTCAGGTTAAAGTTGACACCAAAAAATTTTAAGATGGGCAAAAATTCACATTTACAAAAAAAAAATCCCTGTTTCTATTTAGAGTAACAGTAGGCAATACGATCTCAGAAGTTAAAAATGATTTCACAACCTATGACTTCAGTTTGGCAAATAGTTTGGGTTCCCAAACTGTTTCATCCCTATTAAAATCAAGCTCTTAAAAAAAGAATGTGTACGTGTGTGTGTGTCCAGATACGTATTTTAAAGGAATCAGATCATCTTAAAAACAGCCTTAGTGTTTCCTTTAAAGTTGTCTTGAAACGACCATAGTATTAGCTTCACGGAAAGGATTAGCCAGCTTCTTGGTCTAAGGCTAACATTGTGATCGTCTGTAGGACTTGAGTGTCGAAGGCTAGAAAGGTACCAACAGGATGTAAACTGAAAGGAGAGCAGAAGCAGAAGAGGGGCTTTTCCCGGCAGCTGGTTGCTAAAACTCCTGGGATTCTTAGAAAATGACACAATGACAGCCTTTCTTGTTCTTGAAATTTCCTTATAACCGGGACAAGTTCATGGAAAGCCTGATCGACATTCAACCAAATCTTTGCAGAAGCCTCCATATACATTACCTTCAGTTGCTGTGCTAATTGCTGTCCTTCTTCCTGGGTTATCTGTCTTTGATGATGCAGATCTGCTTTATTGCCAATTAAAATCATGGGAAACTCATCACAATCCTTTACTCTGAGAATCTGTCTTTGAAATTTATAGATTTCTTTAAAGCTGCCTCTATCTGTGACTGAAAAGACCAACAGGAAACCCTCGCCAGTTCTCATTATACTGTTCTCTCATAGCTCCAAACTCTTCTTGTCCTGCTGTATCCAGAATGTCTAGCTGGGCTGCTCTATCATCTATCACACACTGTTTTGTACAGTAATCTTTAATGGTTGGATCATAATCCGTTACAAACTAGGACTGGATGCCCTGGATACCCACAGATAAATGTAAAAACCTTCCCTAAAAGCCGAGACTGTAAATTCCAAAAAGGCAAAGTTTTTCCCAAAAGAAAAAAAAAAGCTAAAGAGGATAGAGAGAAACTCTGTTAACTGATGGTATGTGGAGGGGATTATAATCAATGTAATGAAACAAGGTATATGAATGTTTGAATGTGAAACCGATGATGTGCCCTGAAAACTTTCCACAATAAAAACCTTAAAAAAAATTGGACTGGATGAACTTGATGGTGACCGTCGACTTGTCTATGCCGCCTCCACCGACCACGAGCCAGTACTTCTCCTGGCTAGAGCCGTCTCGCCAGCCTGCAGCAGCCACGGGGAAGCCGCCGGTCCCAGTCTGGATGCGCTGAGCTGCCGTCTTCCTTAAGCCTGGCTCCCAGGACGTATGCTGCTGGAGGGCTACGGGCGAGCGCTGGACGGGGGTCGTGGGTGCTGGGAGCTCAGCAATGCGGCACCCAGGGCTGGCAGGGTCTCACCGGAGACCAAGAGAAGAGTGTGTCCACAGGGGCCAAGGGTGGCAGTGGCCGGGGACACACTCCTCTACACGTCTCTGTGAAGCCTTCTGAATGCAGCCACCAGCGCCGCCACAAATGGCCGTGCAGTTACTTCTATTTTGAACTGCAAGGTTGGTGGTTCAAACTCACCACCGACTACTTGGAAATCCTATACAGGGTCGCTATGGGTCAGAATTGACTCAACAGCACTTAACAACCACAATAGTATCATAAAGTCCTGGTGTGGTGCTTTGGGATAAAGGTCAGGAGTTCAAATCCACCAGCTGCTCCTTGGAAACCCTATACAGGGGTTGCTATTAGTCAGGACCAACTACATGGCACTTAACAACTACCAGCACTGTGGGTTAATGCGCTGGACTGTAAAGTTGGTTTGAATCATAAAATTTGCAATTTAAGCTCACCAGTGACTCCTAGGAAACCCTATACAGGGTCACTATGAGTTGGAATGGACTCAACGGTACTTAACAACAACACTAGAAGCCCAGAATGGCTACTTCCTGACCAAACCCTTTGGAATCCTGGTATGGGACTATAGGATAAAGCACTGGACCAAAATGTCAGTTTGAACTACAATACTGGTGGTTCAAACTCACCAAGTGTTGGAAACCATATACAGGATCCCTATGAGTCATAAAGGACTCTAAGGCACTTAAAAACAACAGTATCATAAAACATAGCCAGACATACTTAAAACAAATCATGCAACCATATATCAAATAAATATACAAAATATTACCCAAACCCTTCTTCCAAATACCAACAATTATATCACATGAGCATTGGGGGTATGGAGGTTAGCACAGCTACCTTCCTATTATACCACATGCCAGGTTAATATACGAATTGAGATATTACCATGCTCTGGAAGTTCACCATAGGCCTTCAGACTTCTTGCTTCATCTGCATTGTATTTTAAAATGACATCTGCTTTATTATCCTTAAAAAAATAAGAAAACGTTTAGAACTGTGTGATACAAGGATTACTTTTTTTTTCCCCCCCAAATTTTTATTGTGAATTCAGTGATAGTTTACATGGGAGAATTTCGGTTTTACGCTCATCGTTTCATTGCAATGATTACAATCTCCTCCGTACATCATCATCCAATAATATTTGCGTCTATTCCCCTCGTTTTGTTTTGTTTTCTGGGGGCTGGGGTGGTGTACACCAAAACACTCATTAATTTATAATTATTTAATCAACCAAGGGCACATTCTGCAAGCCTGCTTCCTGGCCACCAGCACAAAGCCTTTCTCTTTCCATGAGTATAGAGTCCACACAGGGAATAGAATACTTGATGTTATACAGTAAATTACTTAATATAACTCTTTTAGTCAGTCTTATAATGCAAATGTGAGGTGTTTGTGGCTCACCAAGAGGATCAGACAGCTTTCAAATAATGTACATGGCACTCCTGTGGTGTGGGGCATGCAAAAATTAGGATCTATGGAACTCTAAAATGAGGATTGGTTAATTTTGTCACCTTGCTAGGTTTAAAATCTCACTAGTTGTTGTTAAGTGCCGTCGAGTTGGTTCCGACCCATAGCGACCCTGTACAGGGTTTCCAAGGCTGTAAATCTTTATGGGAGCAGAAAGTCGCATCTTTCTCCCATGGAGCAGCTGGTAGTTTTGAACTGCTGATCTTAAGGTTCGCAGCTCGATTCGTAACCACTACGCTACCAGAGCTCCTTAAAATCTCACTAGAGGAAGATAAAAATAAACAGTTTTTGATAAAGGAAACAAGTATAAATGGCCACAATTTGATGAACTTGACCTATACTTACAGATGTAGTAGCTCAAAATACAAACTGAGAGGAAAGAAATATTCACATCAAGTATCAATCTTACCCTCTCTGTAAACAGGATTAGTAGGAATGGGCAACTTTAGACATTGACTACCTAAAATGAGGATGAAGTGACCGGCTTACAAGGTTTCAAGAGGGAGTTTAGTTTTAGAGTGTGCGGGGGAAGACAGAATCCCCACTGAATAGTTTTCATCTTGTCTAGATGGGTCTGGTAAAAAGAGTTGGGGATAAGATTCATGCAAAAGTGAGTAATTGTTATGACTAATTGCGACTGTCACAATTGTAAAGGTAGAAGTTTTGTGACAAAAACGGGGGAGTAGTTAATCTTATAATACAAACACAAAGGACCCTAGGATCATCAAGGGAGAAGGACACAAGTGGAATGGAGGACTATATATAGAGATGCAGTGACATCAAAGACAGGCAGAGATGAGGACACGGAAAAACAGAGCTGCTGAGGACTCATGGAAAGAGAGGAAGACAGGAAACAGGCTTGAAGGATGTGCCCTTTGGTTGTTTAAATGATTATATATCCCTGAGTGCTTTTGTGTTCCTACCCACCCCCTCAAAAAAAACCCAAGAGAGAATAGAAGCAATTACTATTGAAAAACGATGATGCATGGAAGAGACTGAAATCAATGCAATGAAATGATGAGTGTAAAACTGATTTTCTCCCACGTAAACTATCATTCAATTCACATTAAAAACAACAACAAAAACCAGTGATCTCAAAAGTGAGAAACTCACTACTATCAAGGTGCTCTAGGAATAGAGCACATTCTTTGGATCCCTGCACTGAATCAGGAGACAGAGCTATGATACCATAGAAGTTGCAGAGAAGCCGAGGCAGGAGCACCAACAGCATGCAACAGAGTGGTGGGCTTCCCATTCCCAGGCCACAGAAATAGACAGTTGAGTGCCATTGGGCAAGGAGGCCTCCTAGCATTTGTCTAGAAAGCTAGATTTGCTGACCCATGGAGCTAGAGCTAAGATGCATTTGGGACATGGAGTAGAGTGTCTTCTGGGCACTTATTGGCAAAACATATGCCCAAGTAGGACAAATAAAGGCCAAGAGCCAGCCGAGGACTAGAGAGGCATGCCTACTGGCATGACTGAGAAAAAGCTGCTTGACTGAAGAATTGTATTCTGAGCATTTATGATCCTGAATCTATAAGAAACTTCATAATCAAATCTGTGAGTTGTGTGGCCATTGCAATCAATTACTGAACCCAGCTGAGAAGCAGAGTGCCTTAGAAGGGACAAATGGTGTCAGAACTGAGAAAGAAGGTTGGAGGGTAGAAACATGTCTGACTATCTCATAAGAACTGGCCTCTAGCTAATGGTGGTTTTTTTTTTTTTTCTTCTTCTTAATGTTTTTATTGTGAATTATGTGATAGTTTACATGGGACAACATTCGTTTTACATTCATCCTATAGTATATCATTTCATTGCTATGTTTACAATCCCCTCCATGCATCATCAACCATCCAAACGGTATATACTACAACCATGCCCCCCGGTCATCAGCACACAGCCCCTCTCCCTGTCTAAAGTCCCCAATAGCTCCATCTCTCCACGTTGGCTGATGGTGGTTTTGACTCTTATTCCACTTTATGAAGTCAGGGCAGATGGCACTCCTATGCCATTTTTTTAAAAAAATGTTTTTTGTGAATTATGTGATAGTTTACATGGGAGAACATTAGCTTTACATTCATCCTATTGTGTATCGTTTCATTGCCATGGTTACAATCCCCTCCATGCATCATCATCAACCAACCAAAGGGTATATACTACAAGAATGCTCCCCGGTCATCAGCACACAGTCCCTCTTCCTCTTTGTGTCTAAAGTCCCCAGCTGTTCCATCTCATCTTTCTGATATTCTCTGCTTTCAGCCAAGATCCACTGGACATCAGCAATGATGTCTGTCGTTCCATGGTCTCTTCTGTATCCGGCTTGAACCACTCGAAGTTCTCTGTTAATGTATGCTTGCAGCCGTTTTTTCCACATCATCATCTCTGCTCCATCTCAGGCATCAATGCTTCTCTGGGTCGGGTCCCACTCTCCGCTCTTCTCCCTTCATGGTCCCAGGGACCTCCCGATCCTAGACTGAAAAGTTAATCACCCCCCTCCTTGCTATAAAACATCTACCTTTACATTTCCAACCCTCACAATCACTCCTGATAACAATTATTCACTACTGTATCACAAGAGAACTACCTGCACTTCCTTTCATCAGCCCCGCCTAGACAGACTGCATACTAATCAGTGGAGATTCTACCTTCCCCATGCCCTCTGGATTTAGGTTCCCTCTTGAAAGCGTGTAAGCCAGTCACTTCTTGCCTTTGTAGGCCCCCGATTTTGGGCAGCCAACATCCAAGTTGCCCATCCCTGTATATTCTGTGTATGGAGGGAATGGGAATGATCCTTGCTGTAAAGACTTGTTCCCTTTTTTGAGCTACTGCATCCATGTTGTTGTTAAGTGTCGTTGAGTCGGTTCTGACCCACAGTGACCCTGAACAGGGTTTCCGAGACTGTAAATCTTTACGGGAGCAGAAAGCCTCATCTTTCTCCCGCGGAGCAGCTGGTGGTTTCAAACTGCTGACCTTGCGGTTCGCAGCCGTATTCGTAACCACTATGCTACCAGAGTTCCTTGTTGTTGTTGTTGTT